TTTTGACTCCGAAACTTCGTCAAAAACTACATTTTGCTTCTGCTACTCGACGGTTGAGGCTTTATTTCTGCTGTACGATACAACTATCTCGAAAACCTTTTCGCGACACAATAATCTGTTTCGCCAAGAATCGTTCAATTAACACACCTTCCTATATGATCAATGAGTGACAATGGAATAGTTATATGTAATCCCTAAGTTGAATAGAATCACAACATTTCATAGGACAAAGTAACTGTACAAATTGTGAAGTTGACCCAAGTCCTGCATCTATGTACATGGTAAAACGTAAACTAATAATAACATTTAGTGGAAGCAAATAATAAGTAGATAAGTTGGTTGCTCCTGTGGCACCGCCTTGTCGACCGATAGAAATACGTCGAAGCGACCTCGTGTAACGTGGAGGGTTGATGTGGTAGTCCCTCTGTTGCAAACTTCCAGTGTCCATATCTGAATGATAGAAGTTCTACGCCTGAAAAATAAAGTATAGTGATGATTACCCTAGATCGGTGTCGGCTCTATGTAATGGAGCATCGAGGAAGTAGACTTCCAACGGCCCACTCTTTTGATATCGTCTTGGCTAACGCCTCTCCTCAATGCCGCAGTAGCTGCCCCTCCCCGTAGGGAATGCGGGGTTAAACCCCTTGTGATGCAGTCCTGCAGAACGAAAAATTTCGTTCATGTGCTTTCTCAACGCATCTGTGGAAGAGGGGAGTCCCGGGCAGGAAGAGAAAAGGAATTCTTCTCCTGATCCCTGAATGAACTGTTCGAAGAATTTATCCCAGAGAATTTTATATGTATCCACCACTTTGAAGGCCACTGTTTCCCCTTTCTTAAACTGGTCTGTCTTGGATCTGGGTATATATAGCCACCAAATCCCTGCGCCTTTGTATTGAAGGTGATTCTTTTGGACATTAACTGTCTCGCTTATCCTTAAAAAGGCCAGGAATGAAATAAGGATGGCACAGGCGCCTCGAATATTCTCCTGCGAATCGTTTTGTAACGCCCAATTAATTATGACGCCTATGTCCTCCTCAGAGGCTTTCTTTCTATGCCTCACTGAGGGTGTTTCTCTTTTCGCTGAATCTATTAGCAGCTTTTGGAGCTCTGCTTCCCCGCCTTTCAACCCACCGTAGAAGAAATTCAAGGAGGCTACGGCCATAGGGATGCATTTAAGCTGTTGTTTATGAATTAAATGTGCTATGAACAGGTTTCTAAGCTTCCCCAATTGTAGGCGCGCATTGGGGAGAGAAGAAGCGAAAGCCTCGAAGCGATATCTCATGGAGGAGTAAGCGGACATCGTGCTTGGTGCCAGAGAGCAGTTGGCGGATTTGCCCACGATCTGAGCCAGTTCTTCCTGTCCCTGGTTGCGAGCAATAGCGATCGTATCACACCATGCCATCCACTTCTCGCCTGAACGAGACACCATGAGTTAAAGAGGGGAGGGTGGGTGGGAGCTCAGTAAGCAGAAAATAGCCGGAATGGCTTAGCTTGCCCCGCCATCCAGGGGATGCGTGACCCGGCACGCCCATCGATGACCCGAGGTCTTCGCGCCTCGCTGAGGCGCTTGCCCTTGCGAAATACCCTACTAACCGTCTCGTAGCCTACGCAAAACAACGATTTTCTAATATAAAATGAAAACATATGCTCATCAAGTGTATCTGTTCTACAAGACGATTCTAGTACCAGTTCACAGGCACTGAAGAGATGGGTTAAGGTTTTAGTTTCAGGACGGGAGCCACGATTTAGCCCCCAAGTCAGCCCATCAGAACAGGGAAACTAAAGCCCTAATACATAAATTTGATAGGCAATTAGACAGATATCACAAGAGGCATTAGCTGAGTTATTACCAAACGTCTTCACCCCAGGTAGGACTCGAACCCATGCCTCACACTTTACAGGCAAGTGCGTATCCCTCAGGCTACCAAGACCGCTCTTACCCTCTCGGTTCAATGACTTTCGCTCCAAGTGCTAGCCTCTGAACATCTGCTTAGCCTCAGAAATACAGCACAAACACCTTGACAAAGGGGTCGTATAGAGACCTCCTTTCCCTTTTTGGTAGGGTCGTAACTTCCGTGCCATTTTCCGCGACATGGTTTTTGACCCTAAACACAAGACAGGGTTTTTAAATGAAAGAATGAACGGAGAAAGAAACGGAATGAAAGGCTTGGTTGAACGGGGGCACGATCGTGAAGTAGCGATTTGACCCCCAGAACGTATGTGTAGTAAGTGCACCATCTGCCCTACAGCAAGCCTTCCCACAAAATATGCTAGAATTATTACATCGGATATTTCCACCCTAACGAAGGAATTTTCGTGGTGTATAGCATGAAGTTTAATAGAACGCGTGGAATAATGCGAAAAAAGTACTGTACCTTATCGTTTACCCTAAGTCGATCGAGGTAAACCATGGCAACGACGAGAGTACACGGGTCGGCATATCCACGACCCGATATGCTCGCAGACGTTTCTGGACTGATGTAGTCGAACGGACTTCTCTTATTGAAATAGTCCACGACAAGCTCTGAATTTCAATTCCATTTTATTTTGTAGAAAGTACTCGTCTGGGAAAAATGTAAATTATAACATGACATCACGGTCCGCATCGAACACAAATTTACACTTAGGGAATAAACTGACTGAAAAATGAAAACGAGCTTTTGCCGTGACATTTATCGGTGATACTAATGCTCAACACCGAAAATGGAATATTATCCTCCGGCAGCCCATCGCCCTTTCCTTAGGTTGCTTCATACGTCATGACCCGTATAATCGAAAAATTGGAAGAACTGGAGAATTGGGATCTGCTAGAGATCGAGTTCCCCTTTCTCGTTTTACCTGGAAAAGGCAGCCTGATCAGGGAGCGCGGAGGATGCACTGCTTTCGCACCCCAAAAATGCGCGAGAAAAGCGCGACCCACTTGCGACAAAAACTACGACTTAGCCCACTGGCCAGAGCACGCCCAAGCTTCACTTCTAAATGTATATTGGTGGTGCGGTTGATACGCTATCGGCTCTCTTCATTTCGATTTTAATACCAGCGAGTGAACTCGTGCGACTACGCCTTCTGTACGCCTTAAAACGTTTAGGCGTGGTTCAGCCTGGGGGTTCTATAGGGCACTTCGGGTTGGTTTTTAGGTGCTTTTTCTTCACGTTTGTGTCATTTACCATCTTGTCACTGTATTTGAGCCGCAAAAATTGCCATTTTGCCTGCAAGAGAAGACTACCGGGCCACTCGGCACCACGTGGCCCTACTTGTCACGGGCAAATTTGTAAAATGTGGCTATAAGAACAGATCAGGGGCGAAAAGCGTTCCAACGAATCTTTTCCTTCTTTATACATGACGCTATAATGTAAAGCTTTGGGGTGTCACAAGTTTGAATGAATGTTAAATGTGAACCGCTAGAATAAATTTCGGAACAGAAGCAAAGCATGAAAAGTGGTTTCAAGGTTTTCAATTCATTAACTTCTGCAATTTTATTCAGGTGAATTTGCTTATAATGTGTACTACAGAGGTGAAGAAAAAATGAGTCAAAAAATACTGCAGATAAAAACAACAAATGTACAGCAGCAGTTTCTTACGCAGGTTAATCGCTTCAAATTGGAAACCCCTATCAGCAAAAAATGCGACTGGCTGACAGGGGAATTTTCAGCCACTTTCCTTTTCGCTTACAAATCGACTTTTAGAATTCAATATGTTCTCAAAAAACAACTGCTTCACAAGGAGGGGGGTTGATGTGTACCAAAGAGAGAAAGGTCAAACGACTAAACCCTCCACCGGTACCAACTGTAATGAGACAACCACAGCACCAAAAGCTTGTTGCATCTTGTCTCTCGATTAATTTTTTTCAGGGGAATATAGCCCAGCGGTGCCCCTACCATACTAATGGCCCGAGACACTCAGAGCGCGTTCAGACTTCGCGATCGTGCGATGGATCGCGCGATCCGATCGCGCTATTGGGATGGGTGAAATTCACAGCGGGGGGGGGGTTCATGTTTGTTCATGTTCATGTTTATGTTGACGTTGTTTGTTTTAGGTTTGTCCTTTCGTGAAGTGTCACGGATATCGCCGAAGTCGTCGTCCAAAGAGTTTCTCTGTTGTTTGAAATAGTCTTTTTCAGAGTTGTTCGCATCACATGTTTTAGTATAGCTGTTTTACTAAATGAATGCTATATTATTATTATTTCACCCATCCCGAAAGCGATCCGATCGTGCGATGCAATCGAACGATCGCGAAGTCTGAACGCGCTCTCAGCCTACACCTATGCCACTAATATAAGTCCAAGGCGAATAGAGCTCTTCACCCGTGGAACGGCCAAGTGAAGGTTCCGACGGGAGAACAAGAACACTAAAATACAGTGGCTT